GTGGCACAAATGCCAGTGCCTGCCTGGCAAGCACAAGGTCCTGAGTTCAATTCCTAGCACCTAAAAAAAAAAAAAAACCCTTAATCAAAAGAGAACTTAAAAGGATCCAGATGAACAGACTCTGGGGCCGGGGATATAGCTCAGTGGCACAAGCGCCTGCCTAGCATGCACAAGGTCCTGAGTTCAATTCCCAGTACCAAAAAAAAATAAAAGTCAACTGATGAGCAGATTCATTTTAAGGAGCAATAGCAATGGAAGCTGAGGATCTGGAAACTGATTCCTTCAAAGTTACCATTTCCAAGATGATGGGCATATTCTATACACCTTCCCTGGGCACAGACAGAGCCAGGTATGATTCCTGGCAGCCCATCTACAACTTTGGGACCACCACTTACTTCAGAAAGCAAATGGGACTCCAAATCAGCAAGCAGAATACCCTTGAATCTGCCAGGCACAGGAGCACGGGCCTAGAATCCCAACTATGGGGAGGCTGAGGCAGGAGGATCATCACAAGTTTAAGGCCAGCCTGAGAAACTTAGCAAAACCCTGTCTCAAAATAAAAACAAGACAAGGCTGGAGATGTAGCTTACTAGTAGAGCACTTGCTTACTGCCACCCGCCACAAATAAAATACAACAAAAATTCCTTGTATTGATTCTAAATTATATAAATTTAAATAATTCACACATTTCAGTACTTTTATTAGGAGCAACAGATTAGCTGTGTGATCCAGGGTACAGCTGAGAATAAAGTACCAGTATAACAGGACAAGAATAACTCAAGCGGCTGTTTATGAACAAGCCGTCAGAATGTCCCAAAAAGAAAAGCTCATTTCCTCATACACAAGGGTGCCCCACCTGCCCTGAAAACCTTGCTCCACCCCATCACCAGCTCCTCGATCTCCCACGCACCAGTCGCCTTCCAAAATGCAAATACAACATCAAGGTTCCTTCCCAAGGTACCCAGGGGTCTCACAACACAAGCCCTGCCTATTTAGGCCCCTTCACTGTTTGCCATTTTCCTCCAACACTCAGCATTCCAGCCACACTGAGCCCCAGCAGTCCCAGCCCTCGCTGTCCACTAAGACCTTTATCGGAATATTTTCTCTCTCCAGCTTGTTCTTTCGGGGAAGGCTCAACCCGCCTCCAACCTTGCACCTCCTCTGCAAAGCCTTTCTGAGCATCTGCCATGTGCCTGGCCCTGCGCTAGGCACTGAGGACACAGTAGGGGACAGAGTGGCCCCAGCAGAATCAAATGCCCCTCTTAGTGCCCTTAGCAGCCTCTGCTCTTGTCCAGGGTTCTGCTTTGCATTGTAATTGCCTCCTCAAGGCTGAGCATCCTGAGCACAAAAGTTGGTTTTATTCATTTTTGAATCCCTAATACCCAGTAAATACATGAGTAGACATTGGTGAGCTTTATTTAAGCACAAAAGATTCTCCACGCATAACAGGTGCTGGGGACAGAACTGTGGACCACACTGGTCTCCCTGCCCTCTTAGGACTTGCAGTTGCTAAGGCAAACACTGTCTTGCCTGAAGGGATGACACACCAAGGAGTGAGTGGATTAATGAATCTGAGAAGGGCGTGCGTCTCCCTGCCCGGAGGTGCACAGGAAGGGAAAGGGACAGGAGCAGGTAGTCAGAGATGATGGTGCCCTCTCTTTGGGGATTTCGACAGAGAAATGTGAAAGGACGCAAGGAATCAGGCAAAGAGCATGGAGTTGAGGCTAACATACACGTTTTTCATTCTAGATCTATTACTTCTTAGCCACATGTCCTTAGGCAAATTGGCTAACCTGTTCCCGCTTCACTTCTTCACCTGGGAAATGGGAATAACATCATTAGAGGGTGGTGATTTCCTGAGATAATGCATTTACAAACCTTCACCCTGAGGCCCTTCAGAGTTGGATTTAGGCACCAGGAGCTCCCATCACTTGCTGTGCGTGAGTGCAAAGATTCAGAAATACACAAGCCAGGTATGGTATTGCACTAATGCCAACACTCAGGAAGCTGAAGCAAGAAGATTGCTCTGAGTTCAAGGCCAGCCTGGGTTACATAGTGAGTTTAAGGCCAGCCTGAACTGCATAGCGAGACCCTGTCTCAGAAAGAAGGAAAGGGAGAGACAGAGAGTATGAGAGCAAGAGAGAGAGGAAAGAGATAATGGAAAGAAAGAAAGAAAGAAAGAAAGAAAGAAAGAAAGAAAGAAAGAAAGAAAGAAAGAAAAGAAAGAAAGAAAGAAGAAAAGAAAAGAAAGAAAAGGAAAAGAAAAGAAAAGAAAAGGAAAGAAAAGAAAGAAAGCAAGAAAGCAAGAAAGCAAGCAAGCAAGCCAGGTGTGGTGGCGCATGCCTATAATCCCATCACTCAGGAGGCTGAGGCAGGAGGATTGTTGCAAGTTCGAGGCCAGCCTGGGCTCCATAGTGAGCTCAAGGCCAGCCTGAACTGCATAGTGAGACCCTGTCTCAAAAAAAAAAGACAAGCAAGCAAGCAAGCAAGCAAGCAGGCCAGCCACAGCCCCAGGCAGCAGCTGGAACCCACCCACTTCAGCCCATTTCCAGGCCTCTCGCTGCCTTGTCCCTTCACTGCCTCCGCCCACTGCCCAGCTCTGTGTTTGCCAGTCTGCCCAGTGCAGGGTAGGGTTATCTTATAGGTGTTTATGAGCCCAAGGGAAGGGAGGTGCCAGTTAGGGAGGGGCGTGGCAGGAAAGGGTCACGGAGAAAGGGGAGAATACAGATGTTTATCCAGGCACCATGATACGCCCAGCCGCACACCTGGTGCTTGATATTCCTTTATTCCATCATCCTTATTAAAACAACATTTTACAGATGAGGAAACTGAAGCTCAGCAAGTAAAAAGGAGACATGAAATATGAATCCAAGTCTCTCTGTGACTCCAAAATAATTTCCTACCATGCTGTCTACTGCCAGCTCATAGAAGAACATTAAATGCTTGTGGATGCAGTTGAGGGTTTTTTATTCCCAGGAGCAGAAATTGTGCAGCCCCTCCATCCCCACCCGTAGAGAAGCCAGGTACAAGCTCAAACGATGAATAAACAAATGCACACTAAGAAATGAATGGGTGCAATCCCTCAGGCCCATACCAGGAAGGAGGAAATAAATAAGCCTGGGGGAGTCGCCTTGCTAGGAGAAGCCAAGACTGTCGCTGCCGCCGTGGTCTCCAGGGCCCAGGTCTGGCTCGGTTGGAGGGAGACAAACCAACAGATACTCCTGGGAGTGTAGCTCAGAGGTAAACCAGTTGCCTAGCATGCGTGTGAAGCCCTGAGTTCCACTCCCAGCATTCTCACCCCCACAAAAAAAAAAAGAACTGGAGGCTCAGGGGTGCCAGGGAGAATGTGATGGATGAGAATGTGGGTGATTTCTCAGGGCAGGGGCAGAGACTTAAATTCCCTGCGCACCCCTCACCCGTTTCCCTGGAAGACAGTCTCTCCCTCCTGGCCCAACACACTGTGAACTTTTAAAATGAAAGTCGCAGGACACAAGGCAGCCACTCCAGTTACTCCGGAAGGGAAGGAAAGGAAGGGAGGAGAGATTCCCCAGGAGCACCCTGCCGCCCTGCCTCCCGCGCTCCAGCGCCAGCCCGGGCTTCAGTGCCAGGAGCTTCTTGCGCCTCCTCATTCTCCTGACACCCTGCCTCCATCCACCCACCCCCTGCTCGCACCTTACCTCGGGAGGCCGAAGCAAGAGAGTTCCAGGCAGAACAGGCAGGACCCCGTGTTCCAGTTGTCCTCAGCCAAACGAACACCCGCCTGGCAGGCGGTTCTTTGTCCCTCCCCAAACTAAAATCGTCCCAACAGGTTCCTAACCCACCGGGAGGAAGGAGGGTGAGGAAATTCCCTCCCAGCTGTGGTAGGGCCAGCCTGCTGGCTGAGCTGGCTCTGGGCTGGCCCTGGATGAATGAGTCCTCTGCTCCGCCTGCCTGGGTCTGTGCCAGGAGCCTGGGACAGCACCCTGCCCTCCCTCCTGAGCTGCACTCCATGCCTCCTCTAAGTTCCACCCTCCTGCTTTAGTCTGGGCCCTGCGTTCACTGCTAGCTCTCTGGGAAAGGCCTCAGCAGGGTGGGCTCTGTCCCTCTGTGTTGGGTTGCGATTTGTCTTTTTTGTGTGTCTTTTTGAGACAGGGTCTCGCTATGCAGTTCAGGCTGGCCTTGAGCTCCTTTTGTAGCCCAGGCAGGTCTTGAGTCTGCAACAATCCTCCTGCCCCAGCCTCCTGAGTGCTGGGATTACAGGTGTGCACCACCACACCAGCTTGAGTTGTGATCTGGTGTGAAGTCTGGCCTGCTACTGGACACCAGGCTAGGGTGACCTGATGACCAGCTGGCAGGGGCTCAGTCACCTCTGTGGGGTTGTGCCTTGGTTGCTGGTGAAACAGACGTGCCAGTTCCTCAAAATTCCGTGCATTTTGAGAATGACTTGCCTTACTCCAAGACCTGGCCCTGCCCTCCTTCCCCGGACAGAGGAAGGACTGCAGGAGACACTAGCCCGGATTTCAGGCAGCAGGGATCAAGCAAGACTCCCAGAGGAGGTTTCTGGAACAGCATGTAGAAGAACCAATAGGAGATAAAGGTCCATCCCAGCCAGAGGTGAATTCAACAAGGTCATGTCGGGAGCCAGCGGGCCCATCTTCTCCTTTGCAATGGAGATGCCACCCGTACCCTGGCATCCCACCTGCACTGAGTGATGTCCCAGGACTTCTCCCATTTGAAATTTGTACAGATGGTTGTGTGGCTTTTCCTCCCTCCCTGCAGCACCTCTTAGCTGCTTTGGCCCAGACCAGAGGAGGCGGCAGCACTGACTCAGGCTTGGGAGCGACAGAGGCAAGGGCCTCCCCAGGGAACCTTCCAGCCTCTCAATTCAGAAGGCCTCGACTCCAGCTCTTGATGGAGCTGAAACCAGGAGCGGCAAATCTGGGAACTGCGCAGTTCCCTGTGGACCTGCAGAGTGAGCTCTCCCACCCGTCACAGCATCTGCACAAGGTAGTTATAGTTACCTCCGTCTGCGTGTTCCCTCGCCAAAGGACACGTCCTGAGAGTATGAGCTCCTCAAGAGCCGCAGCCTTCTGTTTTATCTTCGTGTGCATGCAGCTGGGTCCAAAAGCTGACACAAAGTATGAAACGTTCAAACCCGGCAGCCTAGAATGGCTGCAGTCCCCGCGTCAGGTCTCCTTTGGGTACCAGCAGGTGTCGGGTGCACCTCTGTGGCTTCCAGCAAGCAAGCTTCTTGTCTCAAGCCTGACCCATCGGAGATGGTAACACCACAGGCGAGTCCCTGGAATTCCGCAGGGTGGTCGTTAGGAGAGCTCCGGGCCCAGGGTGTCCGGCTTCTCAGTAGGAAGCAACAGAAGCCGCTGGGCTGCTGTAGTCACTGGGTGTCTCCTTCTCCCTTCCCAAGTGTGTCTCAGACACTGAGTTCTCTCAGAGAAGTGTCAGAGGCACTGCATTCTGAGCACTCCAACAAGTTAGGCTCCCGTCGAGGTTTTGGCACTGCATAGACACGCAATTCAACCACATAATGAATTTTTTAATGTATATTTGGTGCAAGAAGTATGATATCTAACAGTTCGTAGAAAACCCAGTACAACCAGCAGAACTGAAACAAGGCTCTGGATTCAATCCTTGGCACTACAAAATAAGGTACTTCTGGATTGTAGTGCCTACAGGCACCTAGCAAAAGCAGGCCTGAACTCACAATGCCAGAGAAAGTGGCATTCAGACTAGACCTCAAATGTTTCCCACAAAGTTTCAAAACCAAGAAAAAAAAAAAATTCACCACATAAGAAGACAATCCCTCTATAAATAGAAACAATCAGCTACAAAGCCATACTCATAAGGACTAGAAAAATTAAACTGGGCATGGTAGTACATGCCTGTAATGCCAGCACTCAGGAGGCTAAGGCAGGAGGATTGCCACAAGTTTGAGACCAGCCTGGGCTACATAGTGAGTTCAAGGCCAGTCTGAATTACTGAGTGAGACTCTTTCTCAAAAAAGAGAAGAAGAGAAGGGAAGAAAAGAGCAGAGAAGAGCAGAGCAGAGCAGAGAAGAGACAAACCAGGCATGGTGGGCCATACCTGTAATTCTCAATACTTGGGAGGCTGAGGCAGGAGGACCTCCATGAGTTCAAGGCCATCCTGGGCTACATGGTGAGTCCAAGGCTAGCCTGAGCTACAAGATGAAGCCCTGCCTCAAAAAAAAAAAGACAAAATGGTTGAAAAGACACAGAGAGACAGTAAGAAAGTGCAATGTACATCTAATAAGAGCTCCAGAGGAAGATAATAAAGAGAATGGCATGGAGGCAATAATCAAAGCAATAACTGTGACTATTCCAAGCCAAGTGTGGGAGGCTGAAGCAGGAGGATGGCAAATCTGAGCTCAGCCTGGGCCACTCAGCAATTTAGTGACTTAGCAAGAACTTGTCTCAAAAATAAAAATGTAAAAAACAGGGCTCAGTACAAAGGTCCTGGATTCAATCCCCAGGCCCTGAAAAAAGGGGAAGGGCGAGGCCCTAGGTTCAAATCTCAGCACTAGGGGAATAAAATATCAAGATAAAACTAAAGTGCTGGGTGCAAACTGCGTACTGGTGGGAGAAAGATAGAGTGACATTAACATATTCCAGGTTATTTGCTCTTCTTCATGACAGTAAATAAATATATTAAATTTAATATTTGTTAAATTATACATGCATATTAACATTGATCGGTAACCATGAGCTAATCAGAATCGGAGTTTTTTTGCTATTGTTATTGTTTTGTTCTTTTGAGACAAGATCTCCGATACATAGCCCGGGCTGGCCTTGAACTTGGAACGATCCTCCCTCCTCAGCCTCCCAAGTGCTGGGATTACAGGCGTGCGCCACCACGCCTGGCGTTTTATAAGAAATACTAGTGGAAAAGGCAAGGAAAGGAAGAATAGAAGAAACCTAGAAGTAGGGAGACAAATAAAAAGTACAATCAAAGTTGGTAGAAATTAATCCAAACAGATTGGTAATAATTACAGTATAACAAAAGTAATAACAGACATCCAGAATGCCCAAAAACAGCGCTGGCCAGGACACACACTTGGTTCTCCGAAACTTCCTACTTCCTTTTGCGCATGCGCCAACTAACTCCCACTATCCTCGAGATTTAACACATCTACACATCGCTTGCCCATAGTAACTCCAGCTCTACTCCAATCTAATAAAAACCCATTCCCAAGCTCCCTCCTCCGAGGATCCTCGCCATCTCTTGCAACCTTCCCACTCCCGCAATAAAAGCTTGTTTTATTTATCTCTGTCTCTTGCGCTACCTGGTGCCAAACCTAACAATAATAATAGCTGGGCATTGGGCATATCCGTGTAATCCCAGCACTTGGAAGGCCAAGTGTCTTGGTTACTTTTCTCTCGTTGCTGAGACAAAATACCCAAAGCCCAAAATGAAGGAAGGAAAGGTTTATTTGGCTCACAGTTTGTAGAGGTTTCAGTCCATACTTGGCTCCGAGGCAGAAGACAGCAAAGCAACAAGAGCAAGGAGGAATGGCAGCCAAACAGCAACGCAGCCAGAGCAAAAAGGGAGGAATGGCGGCAAGCAGCTTCTTTCTCCCTGCCTTACTTTGTAAACAAGCTACCCCCACCTAAGGGGCGTGTAGCTCTCACATAATCTTTGCCCTCCTCTTTCACAGGCTCAGGATGTGTACAAAGTGAGCACTCTGGCTTCCTGCTAAGTTACTTAGCCAAACCTCTAGACTCCCCAAGTTGACACAATGTATCAACCATAACACCAAGGCAGGAGGATCACCACAAGTTTGAGGCCAACCTGGGCTACATGCTAAAGTCAAGGTCAGCCTGAATTACATAACAAGATTCTGTCTCTCAGAAAATCAAAATAAATAATAAAATTAAAATTCTCCTATCAAAAAAGGCTAAATAAATGCAATTAAAGATATACTCAAAAATAAGAAATGAGGGATGTTTCTAAAAAGCACGTAAAAATAAAATAAAATAAAAAATAAAAAGCACGTAAAGCCGGGTATGGTAGTGCAATCTCGGTTCTCCAGGAGGATCACAAGCTCAAACCCAGCCTGGGCAGCTTAGTGACTCAACAAAATCCTATCTCAGAATAAAAAATTTTAAAAAGCTGTGAATGCAGCTTGGTGCAAAGGCCCCAAGTCCAATCTCTAGTACCAAAAGAATACAAATTGAAATGAATAAAAAGCATATAAAACAGTGTCATCACCCAGAGTAGACTACACTGAAACATTACCAGAGATGAAGGGGATCACTACATACTGAAAAGGTTTGATTTACCAAGAATCTGTTACAAGTCTTTTGTTTTGTTGAGACAGTGTCTGGCTATGCAATTCGGGCTGGCCTTGAAATCACTTTGTAGACTGGGCTGCCCTCAAACTCCCGAGTGCTGGGATTACAGGCATGCACCACCACAACCGGCTCTATTACAATTCTAAATGCAAGACAGATAGATGGGGCTGGGGATTTACCTCAACGGCACAGCGCCTGCCTGGCAAGCATTAGGTCGTGAGTTTGATTCCTGGCATTGGAAAAAAAAAATTAAAAAAAAAACAGATAGATGATAGGGATATAGATGATAGATGGATAGATGATAGATAGGTGATAGAGCTTTCTCATTAGGATCCTACAGGCTCTGTGCTTTAGTAATTTATAATTATCCTATCCTTAAGATTTAGTGTTTTAAAGCAGGCATGATGGTGCATGCTTATAATCCCAGCACTTGGGAGGCTGAGGCAGGAGGATTGCTGCAAGTTCAAGACCAGCCTGGGCTACAAAGTGAGCTCAGGTTCAGCCTGAACTGCATAGCAAGACCCTGTCTCAAAAAAAAAAAAAAAAAAAAAATTTAGTGTTTTAATAAGTATAAGTTTACAGGTCTAAGGGAAATTTTGACAAATGTGTTATTATAGTAGAACATTTGGACATACTCTTCTCAATCATTAATAGATCAAGTAAGGATTCAAACAATTCAAATAACACAGTTAACAATCTTAAAATAATGGACTTAGGTAGAACATAATACCAAGTCTTTTAAAGACTATGTTAGCCAGATGGGGTAGTGCATGCCTGTAATCTCAGCACTCAGGAAGCTGAGCTAGGAAGATCACAGCAAGTTTGAGGCCAGGCTGGGCTCTATAGTAAGCTCAAGGCCAGCCTGTCTTGCACAGTGAGACCCTGTTTAGAAAAAAAAAGAAAAGAAAAAAGAAGGCAAACGTATATTAACATTACAAAACTGCCTTTCAGCTGGGTCCAGTGACCCATACCTGTAATCTTATCTGCTTAGGAAACTGAAACAAAGAGTCTCCCAAATTAGAAGCTGGCCGGGCAATTTAGCGAGATCCTGACAAGAGATCAAAAATGTTGGGCTGTAGCTCTGAGGTAGATTGCTTGCCTCATATATGTGAGTTTCTAGGTTTGATCCTCAGCATGGCAGCAAAAAGGAAGAAAAGAAATTGATCTGTATTTGATCACAAAGCAAATCTCAGCACATTCAGAAACATGGGATCACCACACCACATTTTCTGACCACAGCATAATTAAGTGAAATGTTACCAGCAAATAGATCTACACCTAAGCCCAGCACAGTGTCACAAACCTGTCGTCCCAGTACTCAGGCTGAGTGGAGAGGATTGCTCATGAGTCTGAGACCAGTCTAGGCAACATAGCCAGAGTCCACCTAAAAAAAGACACATTCCTATGAAATATTTAGAACAGGCTAGAGATGGAATGTAGATTAGAGGTTAACAGGGGCTAGGGAGTCAGGAGGGTGAGGGAAAGTAGGGAATTACTGACTGGTAGCTATAGTTTCTCTTTGGGGCTATGAAGTTTTGAAAATATATAGCGGTGATGAAGTTATATACGTTTTACAATTTAAAAATGCTAAAAATATAAAAATTTTAAAAATGGGTTAAGGGCTGGGGATATCCCTTAGTGGCACAGTGCCTGCCTGGCAAGTGCAAGGTCCTAAATTCAATTCC